CTAATGAAACTTGCTGCCTGTGCCTACGTGTTCACAGTGAGTCGGTCCGAAGGGAAGGAAATAGCAGTGTAACTCAGTCACCGCACACCACGGGACTGCAGACAGGAGCTGGAGCCACAAATCTGGACCTAAAGGCAGTTTCCAGATGTTCTAGGCAAACCAGGTCCAGACCAGATCAGGTCCCTTCAATAACAGAGAGACAGCTTAGAAAACACGGTAGAGGGTTTGCAGCTTGGCAGGCGTTTCTTATAGGAATGGAGTACCTTGAGCATATCAAACAAAACAAAAATAACACCCCCCCAAAAAAAACCCCAAAAAATGTGTGCAAACCCCAATATCCCCCATGTTAATATGAAATCTCCTCATGACTCCTAATGAGTGCAAGGTCCTACACCTGGGTTAGGGCAATCCCAAGCACAAATACAGGCTCAGTGGAGAATGGATGGAGAGCAGCCCTGAGGAGAAGGACCTGGGGGGTGTAGGTGGATGAGAAGCTCAACATGAGCCTGCAGTGTGCGATCACAGCCCAGAAGGCCAACCACATCCCGGGCTGCATCCCCAGCAGCATGGTCAGCAGGGCGAGGGAAGGGATTGTGGCCCTCTACCGCGCTCTGCTCTGGGGAGACCCCACCTGGGCTACTGCCTCCAGCTCTGGAGCTCCCAACATAGGAGAGACATGGACCTGTTGGAGCGAGGCAAGAGGAGGACACAGACATGATCCGAGGGCTGCAGCACCTCTGCTATGAGGACAGGTTGGGAGAGTTGGGGTTGTTCAGCCTGGAGAAGAGAAGGCTCCGGGGAGACCTTATAGCAGCTTTCCAGTACCGAAAGGGGGCCTACAGAAAAGATGGAGAGGGACTTTTTACTGGGGCATGGAGTGATAGGACAGGGGGAATGGCTTTAAACTGGAAGAGGGGAGATTCAGATTAGATATTGGGAAGAAAATTTTCACTGTGAGGGTGGTGAGGCACTGTCCCAGGTTGCCCAGAGAAGCTGTGGCTGCCCCAGCCCTGGACGTGCTCAAGGCCAGGTTGGATGGGGCTTGGAGCAACCTGGTCTGGTGGGAGGGGTCCCTGCCCATGGCAGAGGGGGTGGGACTGGATGGTCTTGAAGGTCCTTTCCTACCTAAACCGTTCTATGATTCTATGACTGCACCTGCAAAGCCAAACCCCTTGCTGGGGCTGAGTATCTGAACTGGTGGCAGACAGGAGAGCATGGCCATGAGAGGTGACAACTGGTTTGGTTGGTGCAGAGGTCCTTCTACAGCCATTTGAGAACAGGGTTAAGAGAAATTCCTCTGGTGGCAGCTTTTTCTCTGTAGTTTGAGGTCAATTATGAGTTTGTATCATTCAGATTGCAAAGAGACTTTATAGAGAATCAGGGAAACAAGCAGAAATTATTGAAATAAAACAATTAAGGCTGGTGTAAGTGGTGCTTACCAGAAGATTTTCAAATTTTGTAAATCTGACCACCTCTAGAGTTGGGATGGAGCTAAAATTCGCCATAAAAATACTCTAGGGAAAGGAAATTGAATAGATTTTTTTTTTTCTTATAAGGTAGGAAACTTTTCTTTCCATTTGCTGTCCCAAAATACTTTATGATACCATTTATATCCATTTCAACATGTACAACTATTTCAAAGTAGTAAAAGCTTGCAAATGTAATTTGTGCAGTGTCATGAAGGGACACTGTGAGATTGCTGCAATTTTTTAAGGCAATTTTTATCCTTAAGAGAAGTTTTGGTGAAATCAGTGTAATTCTGCTAACATACCCAAAGGACCTACATTTCCAGTGGAAAACAGTTCCTGTCAGCATTTTTCCAGCTAGCTTTAGTCTGAAATAAAAACTGCCTCTCTATCTGCTTTGAACAATTTTCACTTTGTGATTGTCGGAGTGCGATGTGCAAGAACAAAGGCACTTATTTCACAAGTCACATTTGGACTTTCAGTCCTGAAAGGATATATACAAATAAAATGTGGTTTTCTCTGCAGTCTTTATCACGTTCAGTTCCTACTTACCAAGGTGGTTTGGGGTGTTCTTCCTTTTTTTTATTTTGGCCTTAGCTAAACTGAAATTGCAATCTGACGGTTATTGCTGTCCGCAGGGTGCAAACCAAGATTGTGGTGGACAAAATAAAATAGGATTTTTTTTGTTTTTAGTATACATATGCAGCTTTAAGGACTAGAGAATTTGTATTTGCTGTATCGTTTATGCAATTTTGCTAAAAACAGCCCCTTTCCGGTGAGTGATTTTATATATATAAGAATAATATCTTACTGTTGTTGTCCTCTAATAAAGCTACTCAATGCATTGGCTTTGAATAGCACAGCCACGTAGTTTGGGCTACAGAAACCCATTGGTTCCCCACGGCGAGTTGCCGCCGGACGGGCGAAGGGTTTCTCCCGAGAAGTGCTTGATGCCCACGGGCTGTGGCAGGTGCTGCTCACTCCCGACATCGCGGTCTCGGTGTGCATGGCACTGGTCAGTGCTGCCACTCCTGGCTCCATTCCCCAGATCCCATTGCTAAACACACAAGAGGTGCAAAGACGTTGTAAGACTTCATGAGTAAAATAGCTTACCTAGATTATATCTTTTTTTTTAATACACATGTTATCAGTTACCTAATGTACTAAGTTTTTTCATTATTTGGCCTCCATTCATCAGCATCTGTGGATGTTTGTAACTATATACATGTGAAAAAGCCTTTTAAGATGAAATAGCCTTGTTTGCACTGGAAAAAGAACCAAAAAAGGCAAAGAGATGCCAGGTAAAAATGACCTTTCAATAAAAACAGGAGACAGGCAGCAATTACCTTCCTCTAGCCTTATTTCTGTAACTCCTTCAACAAGTCCCACCCCAGCCCTGTGATGCAGTTAACAGCCCGCAGGACCCAGGACTCGGTTTTTGGGGAACTGCTTGCCCATGCCCGTGGGAGCGGAGGGAGATGCTGTACCTCCACGTGCTATTTCCCTTTGCTTCCTCCTGACAGGTGCCAAATTCCCAATCAAATGGACAGCGCCGGAGGCCATTAACTTTGGAGTTTTCACCATCAAATCTGACGTGTGGTCTTTCGGGATCCTCCTGACAGAAATCATAACCTACGGCCGGATCCCTTACCCAGGTACGCTGCGAATACGGGACAAGTGAACATCGACTTCAAAGCATCTAGAGCCGCTTTATGCTTGGAGACGCATATCCAAGTGTGTACACGTGTGTCCAGACACACACCCCTGTTTCTTCATGATGGGTTTCCTCTCCTAGGCTCCCACGAGCCTCAGTTATACCTGTGCCAGGAAAAAACCTATAGATGGGAGTCAGGGAGAGGGCAAAGGGATGGAGGGGGGAGCACAACCCTGAAGGAGGGATGGTCCCCAGATATGGCCCAGCATTGCTGTCCCTCATGCTCCTCCAGCCTTGCCTGGATGTGAGTTCCACTGAGCTTCACTCCCTGGATGCTGAGTAACTCCTGTTGGACTGTGTTTCCCTCCAGGGATGACCAACCCCGAGGTGATTCGCAACCTGGAGAGGGGCTACCGCATGCCCTGCCCGGACATGTGCCCTGGTGAACTCTACAACATCATCCTGAAATGCTGGCGAAGCAAGCCTGAGGAGCGCCCGACCTTCGAGTACCTGCAGTCGGTCCTGGAGGACTTTTACACTTCCACAGAGAAGCAGTATGAGCCGGAGCCTCAGCAGTAAGACACCACCCCACCAGCACTTGGGGACAGAGCTGGAGGAAAGCCACTGTCCTGCACAGCCTGGCGATGGCTTGTTTCAGGCCTTTCCCTTTCTCCTGTGTGCCACCACGATGTATTTGGAGGCGGGGAATGAGGAGGGACATGAAGGAGGTGGATGCTGACGGCTCTGTGGTTATTATGAATATTAAAGAGGCGACTGAGAGCTGGCATAGCTCTTTCCCCATCCAACTTGGAGGTCTGTACCCACTTTGCAGACATCATCTCTGCCATGAAGGACAGCAAGACTCCTTCCTGACCCACCTAGAGAAAGAAAAGCCTCTCAGCCCTGCAACGGCAGCCCCAAGAAGAGGGGACCATGGCTGGGATGGTGGTACGGGAGGGGGGGTACACAATCTCTCCCCCGCTTCTGATCCCACTGCCAGCAATACTACAAGCCCCTTCATGCCAAGGGCAAGGGTGGGAATATGTCCTACCACACTGGGCCCCAAGCTCTGGAGCAGTCTCTCCAGGTGGTGCCACCCTCAACCCATGCCCCAAGTCAATAATAAAGAACTGAATATGACCATTTTCTATTTATTAATTCGGGCTTCAAGGCAAGACCAAGTTTTCCATGGCCATGGAGGAGAAGGGAAGAGGCCATGGGGCTCCCCGAGCAGCTCGGGGTGATGCTGGGGTGGTACCCAGGGCGGGGAGGGGGGATGCCCGGGGTGTGCCCACTGACCGCCGGCTCAGGAGGCCCTGGAGCCTGGAGGAAGGAGAGATGTTCGTGGTGTGGCCACGAGATGTCCCTCCTTCCCCGCAAATCTGGGTGGCTACTGCCACCCAGCTGGTGGGGGGGAATTAAATATACATATATATAGAAATACCCCTAAAATAAAAAAAATACCCTCCTTTCTTTGCTAAGCGCTTCACTGCACAAGCTCCTGATGCAGCTCTGGTGCATCATAGAATCACAGGTTTGCATTGAAAGGGACCTTAAAGTTCATAGAATCATTGCAGAATCACAGAATGGTTTGGATTGGAAGGGACCTTGAAGATCACCCAGTTCCACCTCCCTGCCATGGGCAGGGACACCTCCCTCCAGCCCAGGTTGCTCAAAGTCCTGTCCAACCTGGCCTTGAGCACCTCCAGGGATGGGCCAGTCCCACAGTGGGTCCCACTCTGCGCCCAGCACCAGGAGGTTTTAGATGCCCTTTCCCTGCTCCCCGGTGCATCTCCGGCCCACAGCTGCGGTGGGAATGTCCACATTAGGGTGCAGGGTGGTGTCCGATCGACCGTTGCACTGGGTTGGGGAGTGGAGGATGAAGACATAAGGCACAGGTGGCACACTGAAGGGGTGTTAGGACCACAGGAGTGAGCACCAGGCTGGGACCCAGGTGGACTCCCCTTCAGGTTATAAGTCCATCACTTGTGATGAAACAAAATCCCCCACTGTGATGCCAGTATCACTTCCCGGGTGTTCCTGACGGAGCAACATTGCTTGTGTCAACATCAACAGCGCTTTACCTGACTTCAAATGCTGTTTATCCCTCCTTTGCAGAGCCCTTACTGGTAGGAAAAGCATGTAGGAACTGGTTTAGCATTCACAGACCAAAGGATCCGGAGGTGGCTGGTTTGCAAAGCTTGGAACTGTCATTCCCTGCATCCTCAGGAGAGCATCCCAGACCAGGAGGAAGGGATCTGATTGAGATGATAGAGCCTCAGAAATCCTAGATCTAGTGGAGACACCCTAGGGCATCCAGGATGTTTTCACCATGCTGCTAGATACAGGTCTATGGGAGACCTGCACCACTCTAGGACTGCAGTTGGAGCTGAATGGGAAACCTCAGAGCATGGACAAGAGCACTAGACACCTGTGTTCAGGAGGTGGGACTCCTCCACTCCCAAAATGTCCAATCCGGAGGTGAATCAACCTCTGGTGGCTCAGAGCTCTTTTCTTATCCCACCCTTAACACATTTGCTTTCCACAGCAGACCCATGGCAACTTCAATCCTCATGGGAGAAGATGAAGTTCCCTCTCAAGCATTTCTGTAAGGCATCTTCCATGTCAGCATGAACAGCTGGAGAGCAGCCGTGTGGCCAGGGCCTGGACACGGTTAGACAGATCTTTTCATCAAATTGTCAGCAAACCTCATCCACCCATCCCCATCTTCACAACCTAGTTCCTGGGCCCTGTGCACCCAGTTCTAGTAGGTCCTAGTGCTAATTTAAGATGAATCAAGCTTGTTTCATGGCTCCAAGGGACAAGTTATATGTGCTATAACTATTGAAAGCCTGTTTTAAACAAGAAGCAATTATTAGTCATTTATTCAATAGCTTCAATCCCAAGCACAAATACAGGCTCAGTGGGGTATGGCTGGAGAGCAGCCCTGAGGAGAAGGACCTGGGGGTGCTGATTGACCAGAAGCTCAGCATGAGTCAGCAATGCGTGATCGCAGCCCAGAAGGCCAACTGTATCCTGGGCTGCATCTAAAGAAGTGTGGCCAGCAGGGCGAGGGAGGGG